ATATATATATATATATATATTATATATTATATTATAATATTATATTATAATTTATATATAAATATATTATATATATTATTATTATAATATTATATATATATATAAAATAATATTATATAATAATATATATATTTAATATATATATTAAACAAATGATAGAAATGCGAAAATATATTTCCTTTTGATAAAAATTTACCGTAGCCGTCCATGTCTCTTGCGCTGCACACGAATACATGTGCAAGTATTCGCAATTTATCGCAGCGAACTCAAATATGTCGCATCATCGTTATCGTTATCATCTGAAAACAATCTTTAATCTATTTCGAAAGCGACAAGTGACAAGTTTCAATCGACGAGAACAATTATTTCTGTATAGCCAAGAACAAACATATGTATTTCACGACGAAACGTGCGGAAGTAATACCACGTAATTTAACTTTGAGCGAGCGAACTGTTCGATTTACTTTTTCGAAACATTTTCCACGTCGACAAAAATAGAAACATTTCGCAGTCGATAGAAGATGCAAATATCTGTTGCTTCTGGGAAACTGATATATTAGGTCTACCGGAAAGTTCTGTCCGATAGTGTCACTTCAAGTTTCAATCCGTATGCACATGTTGATTTGAGACATATATGACTATCTCCCTTTATCATTGCATTTACATGCATGTACTCTCCTAAATAAACTGAAACAAAGATGTCTCATGTCATTGTTAAGTGAGACGCGATCGTGAAAACATGGCTACCGATGATAATGCCAGGCCACATGCTGCTTCGGCGACTCGTCAGAAAATCGCAGAGCTAGGCTGGGAAATTCTGTCGCATCCGCCATACTCCCCAGACCTAGCACCCTCCGATTATCACTTGTTTCTCTCTTTGCAAAACTGTTTACAGGAAAAAAATTCAAAACTGAAGCTGATGTCAACCAAGCACCAGTTGAGTTCTTCGCCTCTAAAAATAAATCATTTTTTAAAAATGGCATTTACAAGTTGCCATCGCGCTGGCAAGAAGTCATAAGTAACGATGGAAAGTATATTCTACAATAAATATTATTAACTGTATGAAAATTGTGTTATATTTCAATTCAAAAACGGACAGAACTTTCCGGT